ATTGTTATGAATCAAAGAACAGTAGTAGATAGAACCCTTCCACTATTGTTACAAGTTACAGAACTTTGTCCAGTACTAGACATTGCTCTATTGTTACAATTTAAAGAACCTTTTTCAGTATCAAAAAGGGTTCCACTGTTGTTACAAGTCAAAGAACCTTTGTTCAGTACTAGGCAGAATCCTTGCTCTATTGTTGCAATTCATAGAACCTTTTTCAGTACCATATAGAACCTTCCACTATTGTTGTGACTTAAAGAACCCTCTTTCAGTACCACTATTTTTATGAGTCAAAGAACCCTCTTTCACTAGTAGAGAGAATCCTTCCGATATTGTTACAAGTCAAATAATAGAACCATTTTTCTATATTCAAGGTTTCCACCATTGTTACAGGCCAAAGAACCCTTTTTTGAGTACTATATAGAACTCTTTCACTACTGTTATGACTCAAAGAACCCTCTTTCAGTACTAGATGGAATCCTTCCACTAACATTACGAGCCAAAGAATCCCTTTTCAGTACCAAAAAGTGTTCCACTATTGTTACAGGTCAAAGAACAGAACCCTTTATCCCTATCAAAAAAGGCTCCACTATTGTTAAGGGTCAAATAAACCTTTTTTCGGTGCTATATAGAACCCTTATATAGAGTGTACACTTTTAAAAAAGATGGTTCTTCAAGGGTTCTTTAGTAAGGAAAATGGTTCTATATAGAACCTTGAACACTCAAAGAACCCTTTGCATGATTACAGGGTTCTTTGCATCATGACATTGATGGAAAATTTGCAAGAATGTGTGGTTCTATACCGAACCTTTTTGAAAAGGGTTCTATATGGCAGCCTAAAGGGTTCTTCTATTGTTATAATTTTGGCATTGTAACAATAGAAGAACGCTTTTGGGTGCTATTTAGAACCATTTTCAAAAAAGCTTCTTCAGATTGACGGAGACTATGCATGCATGTGCTATGGATAGTTGTATATGGAACCTTTTTGTGGGGAGTTCTATATAGCACTCGGAAGCGTTCTCCTATTGTTTTTGGGTGCTATTTAGAACCATTTTCAAAAAGGTTATATATGGAAGCAATTACAGCAAATTCTATTTTAATCTGAAGATCCCTTTCATGATGCGAGAAACCCTTGAATCGTGCGAAGGGTTCTTTGAGTGTTCATAGTTCTGTATAGAACCATCATTTTTAAGAATGTAGATCAGCTTAAAATGATAAATACAACAAACTGCCTAATAAAAGCTGCCCAGTTTGTTTCTGCTGTGATGCTGTATGCAGACAGTATAAGACGTGGCAGTAAAAGTCCCTGAGATGTGGGTTAGTGTTCATGGCCGTATTTCTCATGCAATTTACCACCGTTCTCTCGCGGAGTTCATGCACCGCCGCTCCGTTTCCAGCCTTCCCCGGCGTCACTGTATGCAAAGCAGACCCCAGTCATACCGCAGTGCACAAATGCACATAACAATGCTGTCAGCGGAGTGTCAAAACACTTCACACTCCCCACCCTGCAGTATTTGTCACTATAGACGGAGGGCGCCGTGGGGAGCCGGCACATGTCAATAAGCCCATGCTATTGATCAACATACTTACTGAGAGGCTTAAGATACTCTTGCTGACCCGTAGACCCTGCAGTCCCCGAGTCCACAGGTACCCATTGATCCACTGCACTGGGTTTGAGGGGGCAGGGAGGCGGGAATCTAATGGTATTGGGGGGACAAATGAACTCCTCCCGCGATGGATGGATGTGTTCTCATTAAGGAGAATGAATATTTTATCAGGTAATGTACATCTCAGGGTTTGCAGACCACTCTCCTGTGTGCTCGGTCTTGCTGCGCTAGACTGAGAGCCAGTCTTCAGAGGAAAAAGTCTCTATGAAGCCGTAACACAGCCGTAAGAGTCCTGTGAAGGAGGAGGGTTCAGGTAAAGTGGGTCACTTGAGTGGCTTTGCTGCTTTATCAGCCAGTGACAACAAAATGTGAATTGTTGTGATGCACATTTTATTGAAGAACAGCATTCATAAGGCTACATAAACGTAAGGCTTATTCCAACAAGCACTTACAAGCCTTTAGAAATGTCTATACGGACAATTTAGAGCTTAGATATTTACGAGGATTCAGTTATGATTTCTTTAAACTCAAGGCATTAATAGAGATACTAATAAGGTAAAAATGTATACAATATCATCATCTATAGGGTACTTTCTATTGGGAGGTGTCTGTCCCAAACCCTAACCCCTAAATTTACACCGAAAATAATACTTTTTTTATGTAGTTAAACACATTTTCATTTCTTTTAAACGAAGTTGAAGATGTAGATTTTAAAGTTTAATTTTGAAACAAAAAAAAAGTTTGTTAAAAATGCTGTCCCACATTTTTGTGTCACTACCGAAACACAGTTTTAGTCTGTAGGCGGAGCCTTATTTTAGCCCCGCCCCTGCATTTTAGAGCAGGAAGTGAGGCTGCATCCCTGTCCCTCATGGCCACATGGTGAGCAGTTAGATCCCATTGTTTTGAAGTAAATGTGCCCCAAAGCCTGAAAATCAGTGCAGAACATTAAGAATCATCATTAACGAAACACATTTTAATTTTTAATGAAAAATATGATGATTTTCTGTGTGAACAGCTGTTCAAAGCTGTGTTTGCTGGTCATGCACTGGCTGCGTTTTTGAGCTCAAAATGAGCCAAAATTGTCACCACCGAAACACTCACTACTGAAACATTTGGTAGTTTGGGTAGAGTTTTGACTTTCGGTAGTGATGAATAGAATGTTCATTCCTTTATTTCAATAAAATAAGCATATTTAAGGTACAGAGTCACTCAAATCAAAAGGATTTTAGTCTGAAGTCCAAGTCAGTCAAATCTACCAAATGTGTTTCAGCGCTGACTTCAGTAGAATGATGTAGGTTTATGTAGCTGTCATGTTTATGTATGTATTCAGTGAAGTGTTGGGGATGCTGCTTTATGTGAACAGAATATGAACTGACTGAAAGTGAATATGAAGTGACTGTATGCTGAATATGAATACATATTCAACTGATGTTGCATCATCATTGGTTTAAATACAAATACATTAAAAAGTTTATGGTAAGTATGCTTGCATAAGAATTTGTGTTCTTCGTTAAGGCTGTAGTTCTTCGTTAAGGCTGTAGTTCTTCGTTAAGGCTGTAGTTGCATCATTGTTAATAATGTCAATTATAATTTGTGATGATTAATTAACCGTATCTGTCTTGTCTGTTTTTTTATATAATAATACAGTGCTTAATGTTGTACTGACTTGTATTGCAGCATATTTATAATGGTAACAAGTCCAAGTCAGTTAAAACTACTAAATGTGTTTCGGCTCTGACTTCAGCAGAATGATGTAGGTTTATGTAGGTATCATGTTTTTCTATGCTGCTCTTCAGTAAAGTGTTCAGGATGTTGCTTAATGTGAATAGAATATGAATAAATGTGACCATATGCTGAATATAAATACATATTCAACTGATTTTGCACCATCATCGTTTTTAATTGACTAAATTAATAGTCAGTATGCTTTCATAAGAATTCCTGTTCTTAAGTGTTAAGGCGGCATCATTGTTAATAATATGATAAATATAATTTGCAATAATTAATTAACTTCAACTAAGTAATTAACTTTGTCTGCCTTGTCTGTTTTTTTAACAACAATACAGCGTGTGATATTGTACTGAATTGTATTGCAGCACATCATATTATTGTATCCTGACTAGCTAGTTTGCTTGTGTACTAGCTTGGGGCTGACAAATTAGCTTGTTGCTACAACCTTAGATTAGAACTCTATTTAGCACAGCGTTTCTTTCAAATATTGTGCTTCAATAATGTTGAAGATGCTCTTCAAGCAGGTGTGCAGTATAGTACAAAAGTCTGAGACCACCATTTATTTACTTTCCAGTCAAAATGGCCATTAAATACAAGTTAGTCATTTTTCAGGAGATTAGATATAAAATATACCACTTAAGGAAAGAAAAAGGACAGGAAAGGAAAAAAGTGAAGAAGAAAAAAAAAAGAGTTTCAAAAAACGATTAAGAGCTACAGTGATAATGTGGCTCCTAACAACCACCTGGAAGACCTGGTCGACACCAAAACTGCCCCCATCAGATAAACAGCACTTAAAGCTTTCATCTTTGAAAGAGAGGAGAAAATCAAGCTGCTTCAGATCTGAAAACATCCACAGGTGTTTCTGTCCATCCTTCCACTGTGAGAAGACGACTCAGCGCTGTGGGTCTGAAAGGATGTGTAGCTGTCAAGAAGAACCTCACTGAGAAAAGGAGACGGACACATCAAACAAAGAAGCTGGACAATGGACTGGAGTCCAGACCTCAACACCACTGAATGTGTTCAGAAAATGATCAACCAGCTTCTAAGACTGAACTTTGGAGGTGTGTCTGCAGATTCTTTGAGGAACTGAAAGTGAGTCTCCTGAGAAGAATGGAAGCTGGAATGAAGGTAAAGAGTGACTCACTGGACACAAACAGCTGAGATTAGACTGAGTTATTGACACTGCAAAATAAATAAACCGTGCTTGACTCTGAGCTAAACAAACGCAGAGTGACACTCGACACATCTCGTGGAGATGAGGATCCTCTGAAGGGCAGCGAGTGGCTCTCCGGCTGCAGGTGGGCGGTTTCGATGTTTGAAAAAACAAAAGTGTCCCACTTTACCTGAGCTGTCCGGCAGCGTTTGACTGCAGCCTTCAGAGGAGCTCTAAATGAGAACTAATTGCGCGCGAGGTGGGTTTTTTTTTTAGGTCACTCGAGGCTCGCTCGCGCCCTTTCCCTTCAGCTCTGCGAACTGCGTGGGAGGCGCCCGCCTCGAGCCACTCGGAGGCTGCGCGCGACGCCTCCTCCTGCTCAGCGCGGGATGCGCGTTCAGCTCCTCTCAGCACTGAGGCGCCGCCGAGAGTCTCGCGTCTTTCTCTCCTCGCGACCAAGAAGAGGAGTGTGTGCGCGTGCATGGTGAGTGCATGTGAGAGAGCGTGAGTGTGAGTGTGTGTGTGTGTGTGTGTGTGCGCGCGCGTGCGTGTGTATTTGTGCTCGCTCGGATGCTCGGATCGGCTCGCCGCGAGCCTCGGAGGGAGACTGCTCGCGCGCCCTGAGGAGGAGAGAGAGGAGTCCATGGTTCACAGTAAGTGGCTCTTCACTCGCTCTGTACTTAGACGGCGGTGCGCGGTCCTGCCGAGGTTCAGCCGACGGGGAGAGGAGTGCGTAGAGCGGGCGAACATCGGGCGGAGGGCGGGCAGAGAGCGGCACGGCTCGGTTTGGATTCGGTGGCACGTTATTTGTGTGGAGTGATGTTGGAGAAATGCTCGTATCGTCCACAGGCTTGCTGCAAGTATTAGGTCAGTGTTACACCTTAGTGGATGGTCTCACTTAAGTAGTACTACTAATAACAATAATAATAATAATAATAGTAATGATAATGATGACAAATATTATTATTGCTGCTATTTAAATACTGTACGATAATAATATTCATGTCATTATCGTCAATATTATTATTATTGTACTTTTTCTTATTATCTCCATCATTATTTTATAAAATTTTATATATTTTTACATTTTTATTTAACCCTATTTTGCATTTTTCCCCGCGTTTATTTTTCATGCTGTGCAATTATTTTGATTTATTTTTTAATATCCGCTGAAGGTTCCATTGCACTCTATTCTACACGCGTTTAATCGACTGGGCTTGAAGTTCAGCAGCCTGCGCGAGCGTTGAAGCAACTTCTCTCACTTAAAAGTGCTTAAATCGCCGTCGACCCGCCGACCTTTCCTCGAATTGTAAGCTCCAGCTGCTGAGCTCGTGTGCGGGTGTGCGTTACCGAGGCTTAGCGGTCATGGTGATGATCTGTAATGGCCAGACTGAGACCGAGCCACATGGAGCCCATCCACGAGATTGGCGTTGCCTTTCACAGATGAGAAGTGCAGATGTTCGATAATCTGCTCTCACTGTCCCCTGTCGCTTAATCCGGGTGGGATTTGACGATTAGAGCTGACCACTAACTCCTCTCAGAGGAGCAGGCTGGGCCTGACCACACTCAGCAAACCTTCCCCAGCTCGCTCATTAGGGCTGTATACGTCCAGAAGTTTGTAGACAGCAGCGTTTCTGCTGAAATTAACAGGGATTTTTCACAGTCTCGGCGTAGTGAAGAACCCAGCTGGCAGGGGACGTTCCCATAACTTTGGCTGACGTTGCCTACAAGTTCTAATAATGTTTAAAAAAAACCTTTTAATGTTCAAAGAACGTATTGAGGACGTTTATCATTTCAAATAATGTTCCCACAAGGTTACATATTGACTACACTCTCAGAAATAAAGGTACTAAACTGTCACTGGGGCAGTTCCCGTCTTGTCACTGGGGTGGTTCCCTCAAGGGTCCATCTCAGTACCTTTAGTCAGGGAACATAACTGAACCATAATCCACTGAAATGATATGTTCTAAGCTGTACTGACTCCACACACCCCGTCTCGTCTCCAGGCTTTTATTTTACTGTTCTGTTTTAAAACATTCGGTTATGAAAAGGTACAAATACAAACTTTTCACCTGGAGAAACTTATTTAAGGTTCACAATCAGACCTTAAAACCACTGTTGTAGCTTTGAGGGAACATTTACACTGTTTGTACCTAAATGAATGAAACTGTACCTGCACAGAACCTTTATTTCTAGCAGTGTATGACAATGTTTTAACTGCACCATTTGAACGATGATTTGAGGATGTTGTCAGGGCCACAGATTATATTACGTGATGTTTTTATAGGACGTTCTTCTGGGAACCAAAAAAAAAAAACATCCTGCTGAAAACATTAATAGAACATGTGTGTAATATTTTCATTACGTTTTTTAGAGCAAAACATTTCTAGCTGGGAAGATGTAATGTCATTCAGAGTGGTTTGGTGTGAACGGCTCCGTTCTAGAGTCAGAATTGTTGACAGTGGTGGTGATAGGAACCAGACGTCTGGAGAGTTTAAAGCTCCCTCACAGAAAGCTGCCACAGGAGATGGTTATGAATACAGTGCCTGAGCACACTTTCTGAAATCTGTTTCAGGCAGGGAGGTGCAAATAAGGCAAAATAGTAAATAAAACACTTTTTTTTTCAGATTTTACCACGATCAACATTCCATATAAGAACTCAGAAGACTCGTGTAGGTTCACTGGTGGTTTTGGATAGTAAAATAAAATGGCTATATTTGTGTTGTAGTCATGGCGACCCCTGGTTCCCTGGATCACCACCACTGTAAAGAAATCTCTAGAGTCTCTACAATCAACCATTTCACACCAAACTACTCTGAAAGGCTCTGTTTACATCTCAAATTATGTCATTTTTGTAAAGAAACTAAAAAACTGTAAAGAAATCTACAATGTCTAAATGAAATCACTCTTTGTTTAACGTTAACAACTAAATTCTGGAGAAAATATGAAAAATCTATTCTTCTGGGAAAGTTTTACAGTAGATGTTGGAACATTGCTGTGAGGATTTGATTGCAAGCGCATTAGTGAGGTCAGGAACTGATATTGGATGGAGCTCCATCACTCCAGTACCCATAGTTCTGCTCCACAGCCCAATGCTGGGGGGGCTCTATAGGCCTTTGCCCTGGACATGGTGACCTGAGACTCGTGTGCGGCTGTACTAGAGCTTCCTATTCTACTGGTCTATAGAGATTATACAAGCACAGTGGTGGGTGGCCCTTAAAGTGCGCTCATGAGAAGCGCTGTCTGGATACTTTTGGATACAGAGCGTATCTCATCTCATGAATTATTCAGTCGTACTCCCAGGTTTAGTGTCACGGCTTAGATGATGTCATAGGGAGACGCTCGGACTAAATAACATTGAACTCCGCTTCGTGTTTATGTGGCTGGGGAGACTAATCCTAGCATCTGTCGCACACCCTCGCAGGCTGCGGCTCTGTCGCGGCTCTGCTGGTGCCAAGTGGATGCACGTATTTGAACCCACGGCTGCCAATCCAGCTTTTTTATGGACCATTTTTTGGATGTCAGTCACTGTCAGTGCAGAATGAGTGTGGCTTCCATTGGTGCTGTGTGATTGTCCTTTACTGGCGTGTTAAGGTTATCAGCTTTAATCCTACAGTTAGAAGATAAAAGCAACTGAAAGTGCCACTGATCCGATAACAGGTATCAGCAGCTGTCGGAAAAAAAAACATGTACAGTCACATGCAAATGCAGGAGTAACACTTCATCTACAGAGAATCTACAAACTTAAATCTGGCATTTTCCTGGACATTTGAGTGCATTAGTTCTATTTAGTTGCTACATTCAACATGATGGAAAAAGTAAAACAGAAACATTAAATGTGCTATAACTTTTGCCCAAGCCACATTTTATACACACACACATCATCTAAGCCACATTTTATATAAATTACATATTTTTCCACCAATATCTTACATTCAGCAGCTAAACAGTAATTGTACATTAAAAAGTGCAAAAGATATTTTCACCTTGAAAATCAACAAAACATGTCATTGGACCAGAGGTGCGCAAACTTTTGCCTATGAATGCATATCTCCATTTTATCTTATACATCATTTAAACACAGCCACTGTCTTACGTTGTGTAAAGGGCAGAGCATTTCATGATGGATGGATCAGAAACGCTCCAAAATTGCTAAAAGCTTTTTACATGAACTCACCATAAAAGTCAAGAATGTGTTTGATTTCGCCTGTAAAGCTACTGTTTTGGGTTCATACATGGGTTTTCAGTACGCTGGAGTCGATATTGGGACAACAGAGGAATGAAACAGTTCCGTCTTCTGATTCGGACACAAATTTAGTTCAAAATAGCACGGAGTTGCTTGGTAGTGGCGCAAAAGGTACAGCAAAGCAAAACAACATCACTGTCCACATATTAATGTTCTGAGATAAAGTAGTGTTTGAGTAGTAGTATAAATGAAGTATATAAATATATAATTATTTCATTTCATTTTAGCGTAGTCGGTTTTAAAGAACACGTGTCATATCGCTGGCATTGCGCCATCTTTATTTACAATGGTGATGAATTTTTATGGCCAATTCAGATTCTGATTACATTACAGCCAAATTAACCGATATTTATTTTGATTTATTTTGATGATTTTTATAAACATTTATAAACCTTTTAAACTCCATACTCACACTGTGTACAACAATGAACACATCAAAAAGAACAATGAGCCAAAGCCATATAAACAACACTATGTGCTCTTTAATGAGCCAAATTTGCATTTTAAAGGGCTCATATTGTAAAAAAGTTACCTTCAATTTTTTAAAATAAGTTTGATATAATTTAAACCATAAACTAACATTTCAAGACATATTATTCATTACTCAGTCCATACAGTCCATACATGGAAACTAAGCTCAAAAACAGCCTGTTTTGAATTTGTTTTCTCTGATGTCACAAAAACTAATGCATTTACATATCGTCACTGTCCAATGAAAAACATGTATCTCATTTTTTTGTGACTTTTGCTTTTCTGCATCATTTGAGCTCAGCGGCTGTCCTTTACATTGTCTGAAAATTTCATGATGACTGGACCAATAGAAATGCTCCAAAATTGCTTGGAATAAAATCTCTTTCCATTAACTTACATTGAAAGTAAAGAGGGTTTTTGCCCTCTCCTGTAAAGTTACTATTTTGGAGATACTTGTTTTTCTTTGGACAGCGATGATATATTCCCCTATTCATCCTGCAGCAGTTTAGCCCCGCCCATTCACACTGAAGTTATAAAGAGTATTTCAGCATAGTCTGCTTTGTGAATAAAGCACAATACAGGGCCACCGATCAGAACAGAGCTCATTTACATATATCAGTCTTAAAGGCACAGTAACAGCCTGTTTTTGGAACAGCTACACAAAAGCCATAAAAAGACCCCAGACATAAAATAAAAATGATATTAGCCCTTTAGGTTTTTAAATGAAAAGTCAGTTGTCTATTCAGTAACAAGCAAATGAAGTGCTACACTGAAAGAAAGAGGCGACTGGCTGTTTATCACAGTATATAATTATGCTGTGACACTTACGGCTGTGTGCAAAAGTTTGTCAAAATACATTTGATGTGTTGATTTTCTGAGTGAAAATAAGTTAACACATCCTGTACAGATAACACACTTAAATATAATGTTCTTCTG